ATCTTCGAGCACAATATATCCAGGTGCAGCACCAAGCCCAGCAAGCAACAAAAAAACAAAATTCAGGATCTTGGAAAATTTGAATAATGTGAAAAGGTTCATTATTGTAAAATGACACAATCATGGGAAAGACTACATAATTACATCTCCGAAAACTTAAATTGACATCCTTCACTAGATGGCAGAAATGTACATACTTTTTAGAAGCCTGTGCTTAAGGCATCCATTTTTGACTAATCTAATGTAATTAAAATTTGTGCCTGTAAGCCACAATCTTTAAAACACCAAAATGAAGAAATAGAAAAGAAATAAAAGTGTAAAAATATTTCACTATATGTGTAATGAATCCTTGTTCATCACACACAGAATCAGTAGAGATTCATTACAAGAAAGTGGCAAGAAACTGAAATAAACAGAAAAAACAAGAAATATTACTCTTCTGTGCAAGATGCAAATGTTTTGATATGTACTTCTGTGTGTGATTTTTATACATATTTTGACTCCATAGGTTTTACTTTTTAACATAACTTATCTTTTAGGACAAACAAATTGAAACTCGGATCATGTAAAGTGTGCCTAAATCTGATTTAAACAGGTGATATTTACCTCGTCTGAACAAAGACTATGCTCCTAATACTTAAAAAAAAAAAAAAACGAAATAAATAATCACGAAACTTACTTTTGATTATCACCATATAAACTGAAACACAAACTCCAGAGAGACACCAGCAAGTTCAGCACAGAGCAGCCAAATCCAAAAGTACAGCAAGAAGCATTACTTGATGGATATGGCCTCTGGCTGGTTCAGTTCCTTGCTCTGTCTCTTCAGATTACAGCTTCAAATGTGTTTTGAGTGATTTCCCTTCTGTGTTAATACTCACAATCAGTGATTTTTTTCTCTCTCTCTCTTTCTCTCTCTTTCTCTCGAGGTCCCTTTTGACCCGGAGAGATTCAGCCCACATGTTCAGCTCAAGTATTCCTCAGTTGTTCTTTAGATCTGCTCAAGCCCGAAAATACTACATTCGTTTAGGATGTCTTTTTTTCCCCCTCTCCTTCTTCTTCTCTTAATCTTTGAATAAATCAGATAAGTACAGTGAACAGTTATCTGCTTTTTCTGATCCCTGTGGGAAGCACTTCTCTTTTTTCAATTATTTGAGGCATTTTATTAAAAACTGATGAGGCAACTCTGTAAAGAAATCTGGTAATGAGTAATTTATCGTATGAATGGCTGGGGCGACAAATATACCCCGAAGGCTTCATTATTCACTGAATAGTTTTATGCTTACATGAATCCAGAGGATAATCCCTCACTCTGGAAGTTTGAAGCAGTGACTGTCTGTGGGTGGCTGTCCTAGGCTAGTTTAACCAGCTTGATTTTGATTCTAACGTGGCATTATGGAAAACATTGCCTTTGATCATTTTGCCTTTTTTTTTATGACTGCTTTAGGTTTGACTTTTTTGGGGGATTTTTTTATTTTTTTATTTTCACTGAGCTTCTCACAACGCAGGATAAATCTTTCATGTGAAGAAGAAACCAGATCTGCTTGGCGCTATGCACCCGGCTGGCGTCGGAGGCGCCATGCATTAGAAAAAAAGACACCTATTTTGAAAAGTCATAATTGACTGATGGTGTAATTGTACTGATTGGTATCAAAATCTAGAGCCACTTGAGATAACTCCATTATCTTCAAGGCTCCCTGAGAGCCCCCATCTTTACTGCCAATACAGCAGAAAAGAAAGATTTTATTACAGGCCATTTCTGAAGTATGCCTTTACGGGGAGTAAGAAAAATGACATTCATGCTCCTCCGTTGTGTCTTTTATGTCCTGCTCGCACTTTCTCCCTCCTCAAATGGCTCATCTGTCCCCTCCCCCTTTTTTCTTCTAAGTAACCTGCTCATCTTTCAGTCTGTCTGCAACAGTATGTCAAACCATGCTAATGAGGTGGCAGCATATGGCTCATTCCTTATTTAAGCTCAGCAGACAGTAAGCCACTCAGCTCCCTGAGAATCCTGCTACCTGCTCCTGTTGGACTACACAATGCTGATCTCCTAATGAGGCTCAGAGATTATCACAAGCAGCTCAACACTGCAGGCAGGATCAGTAGCTGCTTGTTATCGCCTCAATCTGAGCAGCTGTGAATATCCTTTTTTTTTAATTTATTTATTTAATTTTTTTTATCGGGCGGCCCGGACAGTACCCCGCTAACTAAGAACAGCTCAGGTTTTTTAGATTGCGGGGCTGCCGTCGCTTTGATGCAAACAGTAATTCACGCATAGATGGACGCATGCAAACACGTCCAGCCCCTGACGGGCTTGGACGTCGCTCTGCTCCATCATGCGCTGCTTAGAACTCTGTCATTCTGACAGATTTACTTCATTTGATGAGGAAAGGGGAGCGGAGGGAAGGGGTTTGACCTTGCCTCGCACACAAACTGGGTGACAGATTCACAAGCATGCACGGGTATCAACACGCAGCTCACTGTCATGAGGATTAGGAAGAGAAGTCCACGGTGAATTACCTTTTGAAGAAATTTTGTTATTTATTTCACTTTGCAGCCTTGACTTGGCAAATACTGTGAAAATGATAACAGTTTAACTCCTAATGCTTAGAATAAATTGGGATTTTTCCAATTAAAGGGTAATCATCACTTCTTAAAGGTTTGGAAATGTCCTTGGATGAAAATAAGCAGGCATTTTAGACTTGTATACATTAAAATAACCTTTTGATTAAATCTTTTATTTTAGTCTCCAAATTCTTGCTTTTAGCCTTAGCTAGTTTGCAGTGCTAATCTCCAGATGGGGCTTTAAAAACATAAAACAGTTCCAAAGTCAACAAAATGACAAAGCAAGATAAAATGTCACACATATAGAAATCCTTTACGGTGAGCATCCAATATATTTGTTGCCACAAATTTCAATCTGGATCATCTAAATTCAGCTAAAGTTCCAGTACAATCTGTTCTTACTCACTTCTGTGATGGTGAGAAATAAGATGCTTCACTCTAACAAATGATTTCTGACATTAATGTCCAAACTGCTTAATGGTTATGGAGACAGGGTGTCTTTAAGGTGACACTCTTTCCAACAGGTTTGGAAATATATTGAGATAAACATTAGTTCTTGTCTAGTCTAGTGGATAATGGATAAAATAAATAGTCTTTATCATGTTTTGTCTACATCTTAGGAAAAAAAGAATGTAATAAATTGGTAAAGAAACTTGAATTAGTGCAAAGAGCAAAGTACACTTTTCTTTTTTTTTCTATACTGAATGAATGCTCTCAAATTAAAGGTTGTTTTTTTTCCCTAAAAGGTTCAGTGTGAGTTGAAGGTACAGGGATAAAAATGGGAACTTATTTGTAGTTTCGTTCTTTTAAATAAATGTTTACCAAGAAAATATGTACCTGGTACTATATTATGTAGAAGCAAAAAAAAAAAAAAAAAAAAAAAAAGAGAGAAAAAATACAAATAAAACTGGACCACAGAAACAGCTATCAAAATGTCACTCTGTTGAGTTTGAAACTAAATTCTGACAAGTATTTATTCCCTCGACCAGGTGAAACACTCTTCAAAAACCTTGCATCACTTCGCTCGCCACTTACAGAAATGAAAATTACATTGTAAAAAGTTTTGAATGTATTTCAAAGTTTGCCTCTTTATTCTTTTTTTAAAAGTTGCATCACAGCCTGTGAAAGGGTAAAATGAAAAGTTGTGATGGATTTACATTACAAAAATAATAAAATATATATGTATAAAATTTTTTTTAAAATCCCTGCTCTGTAATAGGACCTTCTCTGTGCTTCCTGAAGGCAGCTTCGGTACGCCTCAGAACCAAAAAAAGTAGTAAATGTCTAACTGGAAAGAGCTCAAGTGTACTAAGAAAAATACATTTGAACTACAATTCCCAATATAGCTTCAAACAGCTGCGTGTCAGTGTTTGTTCACCTCGCCATCTCTCTCTTCCTCTCTCTCTCCCAGAAGATGCAGCACTTCCAGAAGTCTGTCCAAATCAAATGGGATTGTTTACTTGAGTAGGTCCAGTCAACTGAGAGATGTTTGAGTGAGAAAAATAACTACTTATGGTTGCTTGGAAGAGCTCTAAATTTATGTGTCTACCTTTAAGGATTACAAAGCCTTTTCAGACATACTTGGGAAAGAAAGGTGCAGAAAACAGGAGCAAGTCGGAAATCTGTCACCTATATTGGAAACAGTTTATTTTTGTGCCTTTGAAGCAGAATGATAAATTGTTTTACACAGAAGCTTTATTCAAATGTGCCAGCTGTGCATGTTGTCGCTCCTAAACTGCACTACACTTGTATCTGAAGAGGCATCTCATCGTCAGCAGGAAATTTACATTAAAGCTGATCTTTAAATCCCCCCTTCCACTATGATGGCACCGTTTTTTGTTTTTTTTTAACCTCTAATGGCTGAACATGTCATGTCCATCAATGCTCTTGTAATAGCTTTCTTCGTCCGGCAACTCCTGTTTCATATTTCTTTCAGCAGTCACATGAAAAAAAAAGTACCTTCTATACAACAAAAATTTCCTAGAAATATTTTAAAAAGGTGCACTTGAAGCTCGGTGCTGATATCTCCTTGTTATTCTGTTACATGAAGCTTTGATGAAATGTTTAATACATGAGAATCTCGAGGCAGTACATCTGTAATTACAGTAGTTGCTAGAAAAAAAAAATGTATATAACATTAAGTGCTGGATGAGTGAATGAAATTGATGTGTGCAGATGGGTTCAGCTTTGGTGAGTCCTTCTTTTTTTTTTTTTTTACTTTAGATGCCTGATACATTCTGTATAACTTATGAGAGTGTATGGGTTCAAAGGGCCTGCAGGTCTATTGCATTTTTCTGCTTTCATCTTGATTATCACCATAGAGGAAATGTATCGACTGAGCAGAAATGTACGCACAAAAAACAAAACAAACAAACAAAAAAAAGCTTAAGAGCTTTGTGTTTTGCGTGTTTTTCTCCAGATCAGGTCTGACTCACCGTCCAGCCTCCTCCGTCCGTGGTCATGTCGCAGTAGACCTGGAAGCCCGTAGGGTGGTGAACGGGAAACACGGAGTAGATGCCGTCCTCTCTCTGACCATTGGCATACAGATCGCCGCAGTCGCGGGGGCGAGAGCCTTGGAAGGGGTGAGAGGAAGGACGCATTAAATAAATCAAACCATGTATGGATTTTTAAGGAGGAAGGAGTGCACTTGTCTCACTCCGATGTCCATTTAAAGACAGACATTGTGGCATTTTCAGTTCATGTTCGATTAATCAATTTATTTAAACGGATAGCAACAATTGCACAAGAATCTGCATTGCACAAAATCATTATAATGCGTGCATTCTTCAGACTTTTTTCACTTCAAAGTCAGAAAAATTTACATATTTTCTGGGGAGTTTTGGTCAGAGGCCAAAACAAAGTAGGGGTTGATTGTAAAGATAATAACACATGAAAGATATAGAAAGTGTGGTATTCGTTTAGTTTCATATCCATGGGACACGTATTCATAAAACCATCTTTGAATCAGACAAATGTCATATTGGAAAGAGTGTGAAAAGCCAATTATTATGTATTGCCAAATATTCTCAAGGTGCTTCAGGTCTGAACTTTGGGTCATTTTAACAAGTCATCATACTTCGATCCAAACCATTACAATGTAGCTCCTGTTGCATGTTTAGATTGTTTATTCTGGCAAGGCTTCAAGTCTTTTGCAGCATCTATTGTTTGTTTTTTCTCCCCAAGGTTGCCCTGATTTAACTCCATCACAGTTACAACCAACTCTTACCAGCTACCTTTTTCCTTCTGAATAAAAACCTCCCCACAGTGGGATGCTGCAGCTGAAATGATTCCCTGTTAGCATAATGCATTAATTATGCTATTCAGTATTTGTTTCTTCCTTTGTGTTCTTCGGTTTGTTCAATAATGTTTTCAAGGAAATTGTCTTGGAGTAGCTGTATTTATACTGATAATACGATACACACAGTTCAATGTACTTATTAGAGGACCTCCAAAGGCAGCAGATTTTATTTATTTGGAGATAGTTTGAAGGGGAATGAAAAGAAAATGTTTTAGATTTGTTTTCCTTATTTAAGAAAAACAGCTTTTTCACTTCATTTTTTGCTACCTCGTTGCACAGAATCCTAATAACATTCATAACCTTTTTGACTGCAATGCATCAAGTAAAAAATGTGAAATTATGCATTTTACAAGCACTGCATGCATTGTTTTGATTTCTAAAGGTTGTAAAAGCTTATGAACATCTATCCAGATATTAAGTGAGTGCCTTAAAATTATCTGTTTCAAGTTGCTGTCCACAACAAGTGGTACCATACCAAGGAGCAAATAAATACACAATAGTGTATTAAAAAGGCACAAAAGTGGAACAGGTATGCAGAAACCCAGAGAAGAAAGCAGCAGAATGGGTGAAACTTGAGATAATATGGGCTGTACGAAACAGAAAAAAGGAGAAAGAAAGAAACAGAAAATCCATATGTTTGAGTGACAGAAGAGAGTCTGAAGGTTTAAAGAAACTTTATAAACTGCAAAATTTAAGACGAGAATCCTGGAGAGAAGATGTAACAGAGACAGACAGAGCTCCTATGCCGGAGATGAGAGAGACAGAGGCATCCTTGTTTGTGGCTGAAAAACTGAAAAACCCCTGTAACCAAGGGAATACTGAGTCTATTCCCAAGGAAGCAAAAAAAAAAAAAAAAAAAAAAAAAAGGAACCCTCTGATGGGAGCAGTGGTATAGATTATGCATGCAGACTTCACAGGGTCAAAATCTTGAATTTAAAACATCTAGGAGAGTTCTTAAAAAGGCCGTACGAGTTCCCTCTTACATGGTATGAAATGTTTGTATCCCATGAAGCTTTTCTGCTTCTCAGTGTCAGCCTTTGCTAATAAGTTCCAGCTTTCATCATCGTCACACATAAGCCGCAACATCTCCCACTCCTCGTTTTTCATCCCAGGAAGCTGAATTCCACAGGGCATCAAAAAAAAAAAAAAAAAAGAAAACGAAGGATGTGAAAATTCAAACATGGACTTTTAACTTTAATAATCCTTAGAGCAAAAAGGACATTCTTATCAGGACAACCATAATCAGATTAATACCACAGGTTGAATGTGGCTTGGAAAATTCAACCTTGACTACAAAACGAGGGCTATTTAAAGGAAGATGGCTGGAATCAAAATGGTTGGAATATCAATGCACAAACATGCCCGGATTTGTCATTACAGTTTCTAATTAACCAAATTAGCATAAGTAAATGTAATCTAAAGGGTTCAGAGAGCACAGGAGCTCAGTGACTATGGTGAATATCCACTCCTTCACAGATGCATCCAATTAAGATAATTAACACTCCACCACCCTTGCATTACAATCAGCACAAAGGAACTTTTACCTTTTAACTTAGAGAATTGGAAAAACTGTCAATGTATTAATTGTTGAACACATTTGGGTTCATTTACTACGTTTGTGTCGCCAAAAGTAATAAAAAGATGTTTCTTCACCAGTTTTCTGAATTTAGTACACAATGCCACTTGGTTTGTTTAGGTTGAATGCTGAACAATTCTGAAGACTTGCTTTCGGTTTATCCACATAGACTTGCAGTGCTATGAATATTTCCTCTTTTATTCACACTTAAATGCTTCATTACCTACATTTCTTTCTGCTCAGTTTATGCAGCCATGCCCAGGCCTGATTGCTGCTAGATCTGTGGAATTGAGAAACCACCCAACAGTGACGTGTGACAGCGTGGAGTTGAAATCTCAGAAATCAACACATTCTGCCCCAATTAAAAAGATAATACAGTAACAGATGTAAAGAAAATACCATGTATGATATTCAACCCTTTCTAAGGCTTTCCGACTTCAGTGAATCGAAGAGAGAGCGATTATCCACAACTAGAGAAAAAACAGACCGGTGGTGAACCTGCTGAGGTGTGGCCTGACTTCCCAAAATTTCTCTAAAAGAGCAACAACTCATCCACGACGTCATAAAAGAACCTCAAACAAAAAAGCTGAAGCACTGCATGCCTCACTAGATTTGTTTAAGGTCAGTGTTCATGATTCTACAAAAAAAGAAAGAGACTGGGGGAGAAAAAATGACATCCCTTTGAGAGATTCAAGGTACAACCTCTGCTTGTTAAAAAGAACACAGAGACCCCTTTTCACATTTGCCGAAAACATCTTGACCTCCACCTTATAATAAAAAAAAAAAAAAAAAAAAAAAGGTATTTTAGCATTTTCCTTTGAAGGTTTGCTTTATATCTGGACTGAAATATGTTTCCAAAATGAAAATGATGATAATAATACACTGATTAGGCATATTCTTATAACCTCAGGGTCAAATGTGCATCATGTTAGTCCTGAATGTGTTGCTAAAACATCCTGATCATGCACAGCTCCTCTTTTAACTTAGAGGAGGACAAGCCATCAGAAGAAACGCATAGCAACCAAGATGGTCGGCTCAGTGCTGGAGCTGGGAAGTGAAGCCTCACTTGTTTGGACTTTTTGCTGTCGAGTACTTCCTCCAGACACTTGATTGATTTGAGAATTAAGCACCTACGACTCATTGATTTCATGCAAAACACTATTTCCAAGCTAATTTTGCTTTGTAGCACATATTTATCACCACAAAGAGACTTTTCCTATGGTGCATCCTGGTGTCATGTGTTACTCAGGTAAGCACTTTCTTCCACTACTTAGATGCCAAATGTTGTTTTACAGCATAAGTTAATCTGGGCCAAAGCAGCAAATACAACAAACTGTGTTTAACTATCTCCAGTATTGACTTCTACAGCAATCAGAGTTGTAGTTACTTGCCAGTTTGATCTCGGTACTGAAGGGCAGCGTTTGCTCCCTACAGGCAACAGTGAGCTCTAGTCTTCTTGCAGGTTAAGCAATGTTCATTCCTTGAACCACAGCAGATGAGGAACCCCCTCATGAGCTCACGTTTTGACACCACTCTGACCCAGTTCTCCAGCCATCTCCCCATTTCTCCTGCTTGTTGCACATCAACTCTGGGGACACAAAGTTATTTTGCCACCTCGTCAACCCCAACTTCTAACAACTGTCATTAAGAAGAGACTATTAGTGTTATTTAACACACTTGTCAGGGGTCAAATGCTAAGACTGAGAAGTGTGTTTTTAGAAGTGTACTTTGGGCTTGAGGTACAGCATAGTGTTTGTGATAGTCCTTGTCCTCTACCATAAATAAATGATACAAATGACTGAAAATCCAATCTGTGATATTTAGAACATTCGCTTTACTGAAATCTATTTTCTAAAGAGGCTTCAAAGCCTCTTAAGTCAACTGAACCTTGCTTTCAACATGAACATTAAAACATTGGATTCAATAGATTTTAGGACTATTTTCAGCTGTAAATCTGTACACAGTGCTACATTAGTTATAACCATTAGATATGCCCTGCATTTCATGACATTTCCTTTGGTTAATGTGAGAGGTATTGAGAAAATCTGCTTTTCTGAGCCTTATTTCATCCTATAAGGTTATTCTCCCATCAAAAACATGCCTGGAGTTTTCCTTCGGTTATTTTACGCATGTTTGAGAAATCCTTGAATCTCTGCTGGCAGCCATTCAGCAGGACTGGGCGTATTGATCTAAATATCAATACTATCGATACTGAGGTGAGTAATGGTTTTGGATCAATACCATGATGAGATCAATGCTTTTGTTTGCAGTTTTGATCCTACATGTCTAGGAAGTAGCTGGAATTTGCTCACAGATTTAATGGCAGAGGATATGCAGGAATTAAAATCCCAAATATTAAGAGCTTACATTTTAATAGAAAAGCCAGATTTCTTACCTTTTGTCATGTTTGTACTCAGCAAGTCTGCTTTCTTTTCAAAATACATTATTTTTAATTCCCCCATAAACACTTCAACTTAATATTAATAGCAGAAAGTAAAAGAGGATTAGTTTTCTTTTCTGCTACATTGTGTTACAAAGTCGTTTGATAATTAAACAAAATTTCACAAATAAGTTTGTCCTGTATTTTATCATAACACTGGGTTACAAAAAATATTTTTGGGAAGTTGTCTGTGTTTTCAACTGAATTAGAACAACTTTGCTGTAAAATGACATCCATTTTTTCTCATTCTGGTCAGGT